TGTATGTGTTTGTATATGCAGTAAAGTATGCTTGTTATACTCACTGTGGAACCTAAGGGGTTAATCCTCTGCATTGTGTAAAAAGGCTGTTTGAACCTTTCTTCTCTGTTGCTCCCCTTCTTCCACAGTCCCCAATCCCCATCTATCTGCTGATAGTACAGAGCTCTAGGTGAAACTCTGCACATGCTCAGTTTGGTGTATTGCTGGAGAGTTTTTTCTCTGGGGGGGGGGTGTATGTGATAACAGGGCAAATCAGCACTGTCCAGACAGACTGTCAGGGGTCATGCAGGCTCATAGGACATTCAGAGGTGAATGTCAACTCTTCATACATGATTAACTAGCGCTGAGATGGACAATGATAGAGGTCACAGGACTGCTATATACTGTTGTCTGTTTGCATTGGTTCTAAAATTACCATTCATGCATTTTGTTATTTTTGCTAATAAAACTTAGCTACTTCAATCTGGATTTTTTTTTAAATTGCCTGTCATCATCAGATTGTGGGAGTTGACTGTATGTGGTTGGGTAGAGAAGGTCCCTTTGGATGGGGGGACGGGGGACTTACCATTTTTTAATTAATTAATTAATTAATTAATTAATTTTATGCTGTCCCTTTAATTTTTATTTTTTTTAAATCATTTTTATTCCTATCACAAGGAATGCATGCATCCCTTGTGATAGAAATAAGCAGTGACAGGTCCTCTTTGTGGAGAGATATGTGGTCAATAAGACCCCACATCTCTCCTCTACAATGTAAAGCATTAGATCAACAAAATCATTGATCTAATGCTCTAGAAAAATGGCCTTGTTTACACGGTGCCAAAACCGGAAGTGACATAGTGACGTTACTCCGTTCCTCTGAAGCAGAGATGAGTGGAGGCCATCTTTCCTTCACTTATCTCTATGCCCATGCTGGGATCATTCAATGGTTTCTCAGGTAAGGCTGAGAACCACCGAGCGGCGGCGAGGGGTGGGGTTATTTTCGGCACCTGTATTGGTGCTTATTTTCATATCAGCCAAAGGCCGATAGGGGTGGTTTTGGCCACTGAAAGAAACCAATATAAATTTGTATTAAAGTTAGCTTAACGTGGTTCTAAAGGCAGAAGGTTTTTTTTACCTTAATGCTTTAAGGTAAAGAAAAAACCCCTTCTGGGGGCCGCTCCCCACTCAGCAACCCCTTGCCTGAGCCCCATCTAGATCCAGTGATAGGCATGAGAGTCGCAGCTGTCCTAAGACTCTCTCCCCTCATTGGCTCACACAGCAGCAGGAGCCATTGGCTCTTGCTGCTATCAATCACAGCCAGTGAGCCAATGAGGATAGAGCAGGGGGTGGGGCAAAGCCGCGCTCTGTTTGGAGTGTGTCTTTGGACGAGCCCGCTCTAGTGCACCCATAGCAGAGGCTTGCTATTGGGGGCACTCAGTAGAGGAGTGGAGCCAGGACCACTGGCAGGGAACCCAAAAAGAAGAGGATCGGGGTTGTTCTGTGTAAAACCATTGCAAGCAGGTAAGCATAAAATGTTTGTTATTTAAAAAAAAAAATAAAACCTTTAGAATCACTATAATCTTTGTAAGGGAAAGGGTTTTTTTTTCCATCAGTAAGTGTTGTTACATTGATTGAATGAGGAATTTGCTAACCTTTCCTCACTAGACAAGGCCTGAGCATTTCTTAGGTAGACAAAGAGCGACTTTTATATATATTACTTCAGCCAATCTTAAAAATAAAAACCCTAGGAGAAAATTACTTCAGCCCAGATATAATTGCAGCTTTATTGGCAGAGCATTGTATGATATCAACAAGTGAACAAGTGTCTTTCAGCAGTAAATTGCTTGGTACAGTGCCGCAGAAGTCACATTTTAGACAGCAACCAGTCACCTCATTACCCGAAATCACCTCTGAAGTATGACTTGAAACATTCAAGCAAGTGGAAAGGATATATTCCTAACAGGGCCTGCTCTATTTTTACCTCTGACAAAACCAGTGCTCAGCAGCATAATTTATGATGGACGAGAAAAAAGGCCTTATGAATTATTAATTTCCTTTCTAAGCTATCTAGAAATAGAGTGTAGTATTCACTCTTTGCTCTTTCCTTTCTGTAAACTTAAGCCAAAGGAAACCAGGCCGAGTGTTTTTATACTGACACATGGCGTGTTAAGCTAACACAGTTCCTTAGTTTCCATGCTGAAAGAAACATTTGGCCAAATTGGCTAAGTGATTGTCCTCATTATAATTTATAGGTGCATAGTAAGCTAATAGATAATAATATGCAATCTTTTGGAAAGAGACTGCAAGATGTCTCTGTATGTTTCATTAACTCTAGCCATTTTTTTTTTTAAATGTATTGAGTACCAGAAAAAACATTTTTGGAGCCTTTTTTTCTAAGTGGTGTTGAAACCCTTTGATGAGGACAGAGACAGCAAATTATGCCCATCTTTGAACAGTCATGTTCAAGCATTACTGGAACAAATGTACCTCTAATCAAAATCTCTATTATCGATTTTAGAATTTTCTGTTTTCGGTAATACTAAATTCTCTCAAAAGAGCGTGTCTTTAAGTCCCACTGTCCTCTGTTCTCATTTCTTGTCCTGAGGTCACAGGGACATGAACTAAGGGGAACTCTGCCTGGTTGGCCCACAGACTGCAATTTAAAAACCTGACAGAAGTCCTAACCTTTCCTTTCCCAAACCAAAGTAATTTCTAACAGTTACTGTACACATGCAAACATATTTAAAGGTATACCCCAGCCAAAATTGAAAATTACAGCTTGATGTGCATTCTGGAAGCACAGCTTGCCTGCTTATCACTATCATCCAGTCATTGTACTGCAACAAACTACCTCCACTCTGTTTTGTCAGTTTGATGATGATATTGGAACATGTTTACGGAGGATTCTGGAAACCTCTTGTTACTGTGTCTTCCATACAGAATGTCTGAATTATTTAGGTACATTTTTTTAGAGCCACCAATTTAGAGTCAACCCTTTCTTGAAAATTTGGGATGTGATTGGTAAAGCAGGATGCAGATACAAAGGAAAACACCACATATTCTTCAGGTAGATAAATCCCACAATTCTACAGATTTTTGAGGTGGTCTGTGTGTGCAGTAGATGCGAGAGATTACAAAGACCTCAGCTAAAGGTAATGTAAACTAAATGAAAGTTCTGATTTTTAGCCTAGTTCTTTTATGTTGAAATGCATTAGTGGATCACTGCTTGATTTCTTTGCATGCCTGGAATTGTTCTTTAAGCACAAAATGTATCATGTATTGGTATTCTCTTTTTGTTGTCCTACAGCCAACAAGTGATACTTCCATATTCCAACTCTCATTTTAGGGTTTACTATGATGGGGACAGTTCACAGTACTGGAACTTTGATATGTCAAGATCCATTGCACAACAGTATGGCAACTAGAGATGAGCGAATCGAACATGGCGAAGTGGAATTCGTTTCGAAGATCAGGAAAAATTCGATTCGCGCCGAATCCGAAAATTAGCAAACTTCGGATGCACGAATCGAAATTTTCCCAAAAATGGCGGCGACATGTGTGGCGACGGAGCGGGGATCTCTGGGAAGGCGCGCAGACAAGGCGCGCTGACCCATAATGCATTCATTCATGACATGTGATCGCATTAGCCAATCAGCAGCCAGCCAGCCAGCACTGTGTAATGGTGGAGCTATAAATTGCGGCCATCTTACAATTCTCCATTAGCCTCCGGTCATTCAAGAGAGACAGACCTGTCTGTATTAGGGACAGAGTTAGGGCCAGAGAGACTTTAGGGCCACAGAATCGTTACTTAGGGACACAGAATCGTTACTTAGGGACACAGAATCGTTACTCAGGGACACAGAATTGTTACTCAGGGACACAGAATTGTTACTCAGGGACAGACACAGAATTGTTACTCAGGGACACAGAATTGTTACTCAGGGACACAGAATTGTTACTGAGGGACACAGAATCGTTACTGAGGGACACAGAATCGTTACTCAGGGACACAGAATTGTTACTCAGGGACACAGAATTGTTACTCAGGGACACAGAATTGTTACTCAGGGACACAGAATTGTTACTGAGGGACACAGAATTGTTACTCAGTGACACAGAATTGTTACTCAGGGACAGACACAGAAATTGTCACTGAGGGACACAGAATTGTTACTCAGGGACACAGAATTGTTACTGAGGGACACAGAATCGTTACTCAGGGACACAGAATTGTTACTCAGGGACACAGAATTATTACTGAGGGACACAGAATTGTTACTGAGGGACACAGAATCATTACTCAGGGACACAGAATCGTTACTCAGGGACACAGAATTGTTACTCAGGGACACAGAATTGTTACTCAGGGACACAGAATCGTTACTCAGGGACACAGAATCATTGAATTAAAGAGTATGTCAGACAACAGGCAGAGGAGTGGCAGAGGAGGCAAGGTTTCAGGAGCGAGCAGACGTGGCAGCAGAGGAAGGGGTCGAGGCAGCACTAGTCGCAGCCAGAGGCCAGTGCTCCCGGTGTCATCCAGCGGTCGTGTCTCCACCGACAACCCTGCCGTCATCGATTGGTTGGCTCGGTCGTCTTCCTCTTCCCAGGTCACCTCTGACACCTACAGCCAACGGTCGGTGGGTACGTCAGACACAACCGTTAGTTGGCATGGCCCGGGAGCAAGCCCACTGAAATCACGTGTCCTCTACCTGCCCCTGTCCTTTGGTGTTCCCTCACCAAGCGAAGTATCGCATGCTGTGGGCTCAGCCCCACTGTACAGTGAGGAAGAGCTAACAGAGGGCGGTCAGGAACGGGTGGAGACATCCGCCTCTTCAGCAGCCAGGCGAAGAAGTACTGGCGAGGAGAGTGGCTCGGTAGCCGGTCTAGAGACAGGTCTATCTCCTGACCCACACGCAGCCAAGGGGGCTAGTAGTGAGGCGGAGACCCTAATTGATGATGATGAGGCTGATCGCACTTGGCAGCCTCGTCGTCATCTGCCAGGCCCGTAATCTGCCATGGGCCCCCGTACCGACTCCTCATGCTGCTGCCAGGTCCAGAGTGTGTCATGGGTCCCTGTACGGCCTCCCATTGCTGCTGTCTCCATCGCCACACTCTGCCATGTGCCACTTTCAGGTCTCCTCACACTGCTGGTGGGTTCCATTTTGTCATAGGGTGCTGGCAGATTACGGGCCTCCCATTGCTGCTCCCAGGCCCGTAATCTGTCATGGGCCCCTGTACCGCCTCCTCATGCTGCTGCCAGGTCCAGAGTGTGTCATGGGTCCCTGTACGGCCTCCCATTGCTGCTGTCTCCATCGCCACACTCTGCCATGTGCCACTTTCAGGTCTCCTCACACTGCTGGTGGGTTCCATTTTGTCATAGGGTGCTGGCAGATTACGGGCCTCCCATTGCTGCTGCCAGGCCCGTAATCTGCCATGGGCCCCCGTACCGACTCCTCATGCTGCTGCCAGGCCCGTAATCTGTCATGGGCCCCTGTACCGCCTCCTCATGCTGCTGCCAGGTCCAGAGTGTGTCATGGGTCCCTGTACGGCCTCCCATTGCTGCTGCCAGGCCCGTAATCTGCCATGGGCCCCTGTACCGCCTCCTCTTGCTGCTGCCAAGTCCAGAGTGTGTCATGGGTCCCTGTACGGCCTCCCATTGCTGCTGCCAGGCCCGTAATCTGCCATGGGCCCCCGTACCGACTCCTCATGCTGCTGCCAGGCCCGTAATCTGTCATGGGCCCCTGTACCGCCTCCTCATGCTGCTGCCAGGTCCAGAGTGTGTCATGGGTCCCTGTACGGCCTCCCATTGCTGCTGCCAGGCCCGTAATCTGCCATGGGCCCCCGTACCGACTCCTCATGCTGCTGCCAGGCCCGTAATCTGTCATGGGCCCCTGTACCGCCTCCTCATGCTGCTGCCAGGTCCAGAGTGTGTCATGGGTCCCTGTACGGCCTCCCATTGCTGCTGTCTCCATCGCCACACTCTGCCATGTGCCACTTTCAGGTCTCCTCACACTGCTGGTGGGTTCCATTTTGTCATAGGGTGCTGTATGGCCTCCCATTGCTGCTGCCAGGCCCGTAATCTGCCATGGGCCCCCGTACCGACTCCTCATGCTGCTGCCAGGCCCGTAATCTGTCATGGGCCCCTGTACCGCCTCCTCATGCTGCTGCCAGGTCCAGAGTGTGTCATGGGTCCCTGTACGGCCTCCCATTGCTGCTGTCTCCATCGCCACACTCTGCCATGTGCCACTTTCAGGTCTCCTCACACTGCTGGTGGGTTCCATTTTTTCATAGGGTGCTGTATGGCCTCCCATTGCTGCTGCCTCCACCGCCACACTGTGGCTCCACACTCTGGTTTTGGCCCCGTGACTGCCCAAATGAGTGAAGTGTGCGGTGATTCTAAGATCGACGGCACTCATCTGCATGTCATACTGACTGACAGTATTATTTCTCTTCCCCAGCAGACTCCAAGGGCATTTAAATTAAAGGTACAGTGTTCTGCACTAATATAAAGGCTCTCTGAAGCCTAGAAACACCCTTTTTATAAGTTAAATTCACAGCGAATATATTCGACTCAAATCAAATTTATTCCGCGAATTCGCCGAATCAGCCGAATCAAATTTTTGAATAATTCGCTCATCTCTAATGGCAACCAATATAGTAAAATCGACTTTTAAGACACTGCTTATTCAAATCCTACATAATTTCGAATAAATATTTACTTTATGGTATTCTTGGTATAATTTAGTATCTATCTATCTATTCAGTCGTATCCGACCCTTGGTGATTGCATTGACCGAAACGTTTCCATGAATTCTCTTAGCAATTATTTTTACAGGGTAGGTTGCTAGGTTTTTCCACAACCCCTACCATGCAGGATATCCTGCATGGCCAGGGATGAAACTAAGACAAGAGCCAATTAACCTACCAGCATGTCTTTGGAGTGTGGGAGGAAACCCACGCAAACACAGGGAGAAGATGCAAACTCCATTCAGGAGGCGCCATGGTCGGGAATTGAACCCATGACCCATTTACTGCAAGGCAGAAGTGCTAACCACTAAGCCACTGTGCTGCCCTAATTTAGTATACTATAGCATAAAATTAAGGATGACTGTGGCTGAGAAACTTACTGGGGTTCATACCAACTCATACAGTTTGAAAAACATGGAAACATTTGTTGTTGCAAAGGCGTTCCATCTTCACACTTGTACCAGTGCTAGATCTTGAGATCGCCCCTCCAAAACTTGTATGTTTAAAAAGGGGCATATAGTAATGAAAATTGCAAAACAATAACCTTCTAAGACAAAGTATAATAAAAACATTGTCAAAATCGTTGGGTATATATATATGGGCTAGGTTTATCTAGATAAAAATATTTTCAACTCCAAATCTCAATTTCCGGATACAGGATAGGACTTTTGGTAAAAGAAAAGTCCTAAAACTGTTTTCCAGCTTTTGAAGACTGACATTTGATGTCCATTGTCTTAATTCTTTAAACATGCCTTGCTAATATTTGGGATATTAAAAGCCTTGCATTCTTAATGAATGCTACCTCAGACTAGTGAAGGGATGATTAGTCTGTCAGGGAAATAGAAGAAGTTATTCCGTGGCTTTCAGTTATAACCAAACGTCTGGCTTTCTTTTAGAAAGAAAGGGACAGTTTGACTGATTCGGGACCATTCTGACAGCCCAAAAACATTATTTGTGCTTGTAATGTGGTAGGTGGGTAGTACTTTCTCTATGTTCCCCTTCTCTTTAGGTGTCAAGTGGGTCACATAAGAGACCTGCCTCAGGGTGGGTATTTATGGTCTAAGCTGGGCACCTAGGATGGGTCACTTGGCTTACACTTGGGGTACCTTTATTTGTGCCATGCTCACCAATGCCCCGGGCAGCAGAGCAGAGGCCGCTTTGAGGGAAAACCTAACCTTACGGCGGTCCTCCAATGTAGAGATGGCATGTAAATGTACACCCTTCACTATAGCTGTTTGTATTTTGGAGGGACGTGCTGAGCCCATGCTCATGCAAACTCCTTGCGTGCTCTTAATGAACTCTTCCTCTCCGTACCTAGTGGCTGCACTGAGGGCCTCTGTGGTGCTGATCTGTGCCAGTTGCTATGGGAGACGGACTGCTCGGAGAGAGTGCTGACAACAACTCCGTCATTGTTAGAGGATATCCCACCTGTCACAGGTACACGTTCCATGACAGGATGCTTGTATAGGCTGTAGAATTCCATTACCCCTGGTAATCACTTCCAGCTTTTTGTACCACATTAACTCTTGTACTGTGGTCTTCATACCTCAAAGTGCTTAACTGACCCAAACTGTGGATGACTACATATATGCCCGTTACATTCATACGCCCCTTTAAGAATTTCAGACCAGGAACGGAAAACATTTTCAATGCTTCAGATTCAGCGTAACAGCCCCGGGTTCTGGACCCATGTCCCTTTTTATAGCCTACAAGACCAGTGGGTCGGACAAAAAATGCCTGCCAAGAAACACCCAGGAAACGGTGTGTAACATTTTACCTCTTTCCTAAGCTAATAGTAGGTAACCTGCCTACATGCTCAATAAGGAGACTATTTTGATCAGTTAGTGGTATTTTCTTATCCAACATTATTCTCTATAGACTACTTTTAGGTAATATTTGATTAGTTATTCCAGCTAAACCACTGTCAGACTATTTCTACCATATTTTAAATAAACCATGTAATGAATTCTATAAATCTCAAGCTCTGGGACCAGCTTTGTGGCTCAGACTAATGTATAACTAACATGCTTTTTCCCCACTGGAAGCTGTTTTTCCTTTTGCACGAACTCCCATTACCTCCGATAATTTATTCATTTCATCCCATATGTACATAAAAGGTCATAAATATTGATAGTCACTTTTTAAACATTAAAGAAGCTTGCTAATGCACCTGTGCATTTCTTGGAAGTCTAAAGCTGTGATTACCAAAACTGTCATTTTCTAGTCTTTCTTTTTAAACCCATAAGAGTGCTTCCTTGGTAGCTGAGGAATAGTAGGACTGAAATGTGAATGTTGTTCACTCGACAATTCTAGCACAAGTTGCAAAATGGCATTGATGCTCATTCTGAGCTATTTGCTTGGGGCAATAACTATGCCATGCACGGCTAACATAATACCTAACAGGCCAGGCATAGAAAATGTGTTGCCCTCCAGCAGCCGAGGAGCTGCATCTCCTGAAAATATGTCAGTTCCAAGGGACAGGAACCCAGTGGCTGCCCAGCCCTTAAGTAGACAGTTGTGTCCAGTTTAATAAAATTTGCTCTAGAAAATGAGAATTCAAATGAACTGGTAGTATTTATCATGCGTGCATTTTCCTGTATTATGTATTAAAAATGGAGTAAAAGAGTGTGGACATGTTGTCTATAGCATCAAAATGAGATCCTGATTTCAGGTTTGTCAATGAAAGCTAACATTGCTATGGCAACACCTCCTCTTTTCCCTTTTTGTTCTGTTTTTATCCATGAGGCATACTGTCACCCAGCCAATTGTAAGCAGCTGCAAATTAATATTTAACTGCACTGGGCCACAGTTTTATCTAAATAATCAGTGCAAAACATTTATTTGACATTTAACCCATGTGTGGTCTTTCCATTCATGTCACAATGCTGTCAGTCATATATGATGTATGTTATTAATAACAAGAAATGCAAATACGTCTGTGCAGCTAAGTGGCAAGCATGAATGGGTACAATTTTTAACAAGGGTGTCTATCTTGTTATTTTTGTTTGTTTGAACTTTTTATTTTTGTAGTACTATTTAAAAAGAATGCTGACAATAAAATAATAAAAAAAATCAGACCTTCAAACTGGTGCAGTATCAGATTGAAATATATTTTTGTTTTTTTAGGTATCCATTATCATAGATCTCATAACAATAGTGTATGGTCTGTTATGGCTCGTGATTTCTTTTTTTACATCCTTTTTGCCTCCTTTCTATAATACACCCATACTGTGCAGTACTACTAGCTCTTCCTGTAATATATGTCCCTAGAAAGACTTTTGACTCAAGAATTGTATGTTTATTTATTACAGGTACTTATATAACGCTGTCAATTTATGCAGCACTTTACATATATATTGTACATTCACATCAGTCCCTAACCCTCAAGGAGTGTACAATCTAAGGTCCCTAACTTACATTCATACATACACATACTAGGGCCAATTTAGACAGGATCCGGTTAACCTACCAGCATGTCTTTGAAGTTTAGGAGGAAACCGGAGTACCCAGAGGAAACTGACGCATGCACAGAGAGAACATGGAACCTCCAGGCAGGTGGTGCTGTGGTTGAGATTCAAACCTACAATCCTAGTACTGCCAGGTCAAAGTGCTAACCATTTATTTATACAGTGTACACACAATCTCTACTAATTTTTTTTTTTTTTTTTATAAATTCTTTATACAATCTCTACTAATTTTGAGTGTAGGCAAGTTGTTCTGAAATGGTGTGGCTCTTTGTATCTTTTAAAAGAACCTGGTTTTTCTAGTGACACATGTCGCTCCTTCTGTTATTCCTTCTTACAGTACCTGTGCATAGAGGATGCTGTAAGCACTCTTTTGCTCCCTCTATAATATCACAGCTCTCTAGTAATATCTAGAAGGCAGCTGTGTAAAAAGTCGTATCTGCAGTCAATGTTTGTGTTCAGGGTCCCTGGCTACAGTGATCTCATCCCTCTTTTTCTAGTATGCTA